ACTAGTCTTGGGGTGGAAAGGGTTGGGGGCTGCAGGAAGAGACTGAACAAAAATCATGCAGAGAGGGGGGGTGTGTGGGGGGGGGTGAGGGTGGAGGGTGGGGTGGGAACCGGGTGGAGGGGAGCTATGGGGGGGAGGGGAGAAACAACTGGAATAATCTGAACAATAAACATTTAATTAAAAAAATGAGGAGGAGGAATATCTGGTTAGAAAACTGATCAGGAAACCAATAGTTCAGTAGCAATATTTCCTTCTGTATTACTTCTATTGGTAATTTTGAAAGAAATAGAACTTAATTTCTAACATTTTATTTTTCAAGAACAAAATTAAGTTCTCACATTTTTGAAATATTAGCATTGACCACATAGATTTATTTGAGCTAAGTTTATATTCAATGAAAGAATCTGAATAAGTACATTTAATGTGTTTAGTATGTTATAGTATAGAAAAACATTCTATTTATAGGATATCTTCAGTCTGGCTTGCATTCCAGTGCATTATATATATAAAAAAATTTAGGCTCTGCCAAGACGTTCCTGGTTTTAGATTCCTTCCTGTAACATTAGTGTACATGCCACTAGAAATCTCAACTGCAATCTAGAATAAATATGAATCCTACATTTTGAGTTCTTACTGGATGATAAAAGCAAAACATCTGAAGTGTGCTAGGGGGAAAGAAAGTGTATCTTGTTCAATTACTGTATTCTATCCCAGCTAGCAATTCAACTCTAAATGTATTTGTAAGGCAGCATTTGATTTATTACAGTTTGCTGCAAGCTATGATGACCAAAAGAATCACCATATAAGGGCTAGTGGTATTGGCACCGCTTTCTTGTTCTGAAGGCGGGCACACTGCAGTCACATAGTTTCTAGCTGAAACGCAGTCACTCACACTACAATTAGCAGGCAGATGACTAGAGTTCAAGCCACAGGGGACTTTAAAAACAGATAAACCTTAATGCTTACTAAAAAAAAAACCCCCAAAATTATCAAATTATATGTATTCCTCACAAGGGAAAATTATTAATGGGGAATTATTAATGATTACGTCTATGGTGATAGAAGTTTTGGTAATATATAGTTGTGATGGTTGCACAACAATATGAATGTAATCAATGCACTGAATTGTACAGCTAAAATGGTTACAATGGCAAATTTTATCATATATATCTTTTGTGACAAAAAAAAGTAAGCAAGCAAGAAAGGAAATTATACATATTCCTATTTACTTAACAGGGCTAGACTATCCAAAAGATGTTTAACAAGAAATAAACCTTAATAATATCTTAGTATCTACTTATTTAAGTACTCTAAATTTCATGAGTTCATTTTGCAGTCAAACCTCGTTTCTCGAATGTCTCCCATCATGAACAATTCAGATCTCAACCAAGTTGTTCACAGGAAAAAAACATCTCAGTTGTGGACTAAAACTTCAGCTTTTGACCTTACAACCTTTTCATGCTATACTTCAGCATGACAAAAAGCTGAGGTATAGCATGAAGGCAATAAACATAGGATAGAATGCTTTTTATTTATTTATTTATTTTAAAATATATTTTATTGATTTTTCACAGAGAGGAAGGGAAGGGATATAGAGTTAGAAACATCGATCAGCTGCCTCCTGCACACTCCCCACTGGGTATGTGCCCGCAACCAAGGTACATGTCCCTGACTGGAATCGAACCTGGGACCCTTTAGTCTGCAGGCTGACGTTCTATCCATTGAGCCAAACCAGTTAGGGCAGGATAGAATGCTTTTGTTGCTGGCAGAAATCCATGATTAGCACAATTTTAAAACATAAAGCGGCTGTCAAGAGCGCTAACGTTGCTAAGGGTGTGAAAGTGCTCACAAAACAACAATCACAGGAAATGAATAGGTAGAAAACCTGTTGTTAACTGGATCAAGGAAAAGCAGTTAGCAGGTGATAGACAGCATTTGGGAGGCAGTGATATATGAAAAATTCTTTTATGGCTAGTAGGGGTTGGTTTCATAAATTTAAGAAGAGAAGTGTTTATTTATAGATTAAATAGTACATTAGACAGGTACTGTATAAAAGAAAAGTTAAAACAGGGAATGATTTGGGGGTCTGGAATGGATGAATTCAATTTACATTATTTCTAATGGGGGGAAATGATTCGGCTTTCAAACAAATCGTTTCTCGACCAGCCTTCCAGAACAAATTAAGTTCAGAACCGAGGTTCCACTATATTTATAAAACTTCTATAGGTGAAACATTAAGTAACTCAATATAAAAAACAACAAAATTACTTGCCTAATTGCCTTTCTTTTTTCTTGTTGGTCAGAAGAGACATATGCCTTCATCTCATCAATAGCGCGATGAAGTTGTACTTCCAGGTTCTAAGTGGAAAGACTTAGTTTTAGGTTAAGTTCTTGATACAGAAAAATCTCAGGAAAGTTTGTGATTCCCTTTCTTTGTCTCACCTTAATCATACAATTTGTATAATGGTATTTACTTTCTTCTTGAAGACATTCTTCACGGAGTCCTCTGACTTCCTACAACAAACACATCATTTTAATGGGCACCATACAGAAAGCACAGTCGGATGCAGAGAGGATGACTGAATGCACAACAAAAGAAATGCCATCAGTCATTTCCTCTTCTGCAACTGTAACTCTGTTTACTGTAACAGACAAGGCTGCAATCTTTCCCAGAGAGACTCATAGGACCCTAACATTGCACGTTCAGTTATTCATTTATTACATGCCTACTGTGTGCCCAGCTCTGTGTCAGATGCTGGGACACAGCAGTGAACAGACAAATAAGTCCCTACTCTCATTGAAGAAGAGGAAACAGACATAACAAGGAGACACATAACGAAGGTCATTTTTGATGGGGATGGATACGATGAAGAAAATTCAGCAGAATGTGACAGGGTGACTGAGCAGGCAAAATTAGATAGAGTGATCAGGGGAGATCTCTAGGAGGAGGTGATATTTAGGTGAGACGGGGATGATGAAAAAGAGATCAAAGCAAAGAGATGGTGGTGGAGGGATCCAGAGAGAGAAGAGTGCATGCAGAAGCCGGGCGTGAAAACAAGGTTGGCGTTTGCAGAACAAGGAGACTGCCGTGTGGCTGGATCCCCTCAGGGGAGGAGCAGAGCACAAGGATGTGGAGTTCCCGAGGCAGGTGGGGCCTGGGAGACCTCAGTTTGAAAGTTGGGTTTTAAGTGCAACAGGAAGACATTGGAGGGTGGCCAAAGTTTTACTCTGGTCTCTTTGGCTGCTCTCTGGAGAACAAACCATAGGAAGGCAGGAGTGGAAGTGGGAGAGCAGGCGCTGGGTTACTGGGGCATCTAGGAAGACGGGAGGGGGGCCTGGATGTGGTGGTAGCGGTGCAGATGGAGAGTTCAGGGTGCACATACTGAGTCTGAAGAAATAAAGATCTCTGGAACCAGGAGAGAGGCTCAGGGGATGAGGGAAAAGATACAGGAATCTTTTGACACTGGTATAGCGTACACAGTGTTTGCTAAATTCTTCAACTAAAAACTGTCTTCTTACCTGTTCCAATTTGGACCGATTGCTTTCGAGGCCTGCTGCACAGCTATCATACTGGGATTTCTTTTCATCACACTCCTGGGTTAGTTCCTAGTGTAAAAGGGGTAAATGACTGAGCAAGTGAAAATCAAAGGCCTGAAATGTGGCTCTGACACAATGCATGCCCTTGTTAGTCTCGTAACTGAACTCTAAGCTACTTGGCATACTTAAGGGTTATTTATACAACAATTAGACATTTGAGAATTATGACAGATGGAGGTGCTGATAAACACAATAGCTACCATGTACTGAGCTGAGTGCCAGGTTTTGTTAGGAGCTAGGGACACAACAGTGAACAAAATAGCCAAAAAAACCTTCCCCTCAAGTAACGTTTCGACAAGTAAACAGGCTGTTGAGTGCTATGATGGGCAAATGCAAGATGTCATAGGTGACCTGGGACTCTCAGTAGACCTAATCCAGGCTTGGGAATCAGTGGGGACAACTTCCTAGAGAAATTGATATCTAAATTGAGGTATGAAGGATTAGTAAGGGAGAGTGGACAGGGGAGGAGAAGATTCAGAAAAAAGGAACACTGTCTAAAGGCTTAGAAGCTAGAGAGGGGAATAATTTAGGATCTACACATAATTTATTATAATGGAATGTGTCTGGGAAGTGTGAGAACAGGCTGAAGTCTTTGGCAGGGCTCTGTTCAGAACTTTGTAAACCATATTAAGGTGTTTGAGCTTTAACCTTGATAATAACGCAACCTCACAACAAGTCTTTGAGGTATTAATCTCCCTATGTCATGCTTGGAGAATGTTCAGGGGGGCTAAGTACCTGGCCAAAGACTATACTGCTGAGGAGGTGTCAGAATTTGAACTCAGGCTGTTTGAGTAGCTTCAAATTTCTTCTAATGCAGTATTTTGAATTAGACAATCTGAAAATATACTACAAACACCTAGAAATGTTAAAAGTATTTATAAATGCTTGATAAGGTAGAGTAAACATCCTTTCAAATCCAGAGCTGAACGGAACTCTCAAGGAAGTAAGAGGAATTACCAGGGCCAATAACAGAAGATGACACCTGGTGGCTACCCTTGGTGAAGGGAGATGGGAACAGTCAATCGTGATAACAAAAGTGATTATAATGTCCAGGCAGGGCAGCGGACAAAGTCCTAGGCCTGCGCAGAGTGGGGAGTTAGAGTTGAGACTTCCATAGTAAATCCATATTGTTGATATATATATATGTATATATATATATATATGTATATATGTATGTATGTATGTATGTGTGTATATATGTATGTATGTATGTGTGTGTGTGTATATATATATATATATTTTTTTTTTTATTGATGAGGAAGGGAGGATAGCGAGAAACATCAATGATGAGAGAAAATCACTGATCGGCTGCCTCCTGCACACCCACTACTGGGGATAAAGCCCACAACCCAGGCATGTGCCCTTGGACGGAGGCTGACGTTCTATCCACTGTGCCAAACCGGCTAGGGCTCCACATTGTTTTTCAACCCGCAGACCCATGAGAAAAAGGTTAATCCCAGGCTTGGACTGATGTAGGCCAGCCTCAGAATGACCTTGGTTTCGCACTGCACAGTTTCCTTGGGAACGGGTGAGTTAACAGAAATGATAAGTGAGGAAATGGTAAGTGATCATTTCTGTTGTGTGTGCTTCCTTTGTTGGGTGGGACTGCATCTAGCTTAGGGTGACTAACAAAGTATAAAGGATTGGGGGGAAAAGGAGCTGTGGCTTTTATGTATCTAAGTGACCTACAGACGCCAAAGGCTCTCATGGGTCACAGTCATACCCACTCTCACCGGAGAAGGGGCAACAGAGGCTGTGTACTTAGGCAGCTGCTGTGGCCTCCCGATGAGATGAAGATACTTTAGTAAATGAAAGCCTTTGTTTTGTCTATGAGTCTGCTGATCCGTAAATGCAGCTGTGCTGCTGCATAAGTGGATGGGAAAAGGCCAGGCAGGTGTGGGGTTTGAATTGACCCTACCTGCATGGTCTAAGACAGTGATGGTGAACCTATGACATGCGTGTCAGAGGTGACACACAAACTCATTTTTTTTGGTTAATTTTTCTTTGTTAAATGGCATTTAAATATATAAAATAAATATCAAAAATATAAGTCTTTGTTTTACTATGGTTGCAAATATCAAAAAATTTCTATATGTGACAAGGCATCAGAGTTAAGTTAGGGTTTTTCAAAATGCTGACACGCCGAGCTCAAAAGGTTCGCCATCACTGATCTAAGCACTCGCATGCTGAGACATTAACTCAAAATTAACTCCCAGTCTGTGATCCTCTTAAAACACCTGGCAGAACAACCGCAAAACCAGTCTGAGGGACACACCCTTCATCCCAGCTGCCAGGATTCAAGAGACAAAACATCGAGGAGGAAACAAGATGGCGGCCTAGGTAAATGCCTGCACTTGCTGCCTCCCACAACCACATCAAAATTACAACTAAAATACAGAACAACTATTATCCAGAACCACGGGAAAGCTGGCTGAGTGGAAGTACTACAACTAGAGAGGTAAAGAAGAAAGCACATTGAGACTGGCAGGACGTGCGCAAGTGCAGAGGGGTGTGCCACTTTTCTGATCGGGAGGGAGACTGCCTCTGAGGAGGCTGCCCAGAGGAGCGAGGGGGTCTCAGCCTCACATCAGGCCCCAGCCCAGGGTTCTAGAGCTAGGTAAAGAAGTTCAAACCAGTGAGGATTGGGACTGAGTGACACAGAGGCTGCTGCTCCTCTTAAAAGGCCGGCCCTGTGAACTGAATTTACAAGCTCCCACTTCCTCTGAGCTCCAGTGCTGGGCGAGGCTCTGGGGGACCCAGGCACATATGGGGAGAAACTGGCCTGTCTGGCATTGGGGCAGGAATTTGGGGGTGACTTTCTTCCAGAAGGCGGTGCTCACAGCGGTCATTGGTCCCTTGCTGGGACCTCCCTGTTACAGGGCTGACTAGCAGCCATTTCTGTTTGCTCCACCCTGGTAATTCCCTGAGGCCCCACCCCACCCAATTTACAACCCCACCTAGGCTATATGCAGCGGCTTTTGCATATGAATGGCCTAAAACCTGTCAAACTAGCTGCAGTTCTGTCAGGGAGCCCCAAAGCTATCAATAAAAAGCCCAAGGCCCGCACCAGCCTGCCTTGCTTCACAGCTGGGTCTTGCATGCACACTTCTAAACCCGATACAAAGAAGAGGAATCTGTAACTCTCTCCGTAGCTCCTGCTGGGTGGTCCTAGGCAGTGGCTGACTTTGCACCTCCCTGGAGACCCAAGAGCCAGTGTACCCAGTGGTCAGTGTGAGATCATACCAGATTACAACTCTTCACATCTATAAATGACACACTCAAGGGGCAGACTCAGTGAGCACCAAAGCCTCACTGAAGCAAGTCCTGCTCCATAAGGTTGTCTCTTGCATAGCAGTTCTCCCACTGTAGTTGCTGCTGGTCCCCACAGCCCATTGGCCTGGAGGTCAATTCCTCCCAGTGACACCAACAGCAATCAAGGCTCAACTACAAGAAGACTGTGCACACAGGCCACAAAGGGGTGCACCAAGAATGTCCACTTCAGGTGATTGGGGAGGCTGAACCCCTGGGCCCTGTAGGACAACTATTACACAAGGCCATTCTATCAACTCAAACAGGGATTCAACAGCAGACTAGAGGATCCCGAGAATCAAGTCAATGATTTGAAATATGAGGAAGCAAAAAACATCCAACCAGAAGAACAAAAAAAAGAATCGAAAAATATGAAGATAGTGAGGAGCCTCTGGGACAACTTCAAGCATATCAACATCTGAATTATGGGGGTGCCAGAAGAAGAGAAAGAGCAAGATACTGAAAGCCTATTTGAAGAAATAATGACAGAAAACCTCCCCTACCCGGTGAAAGAAATAGACTTACAAGTCCAGGAAGCACAAAGAACCCCAAACAGGAGGAATCCAAAGAGGACCACACCAAGCACATCATAATTAAGCTATCAATAAAAGGCTCAAGGCCCACACTAGCACCAGCCTGCCTTGCCTCACAGCTGGGCCTTGCATGGACACTTCTAAACTCGATACAAAGAAGAGGAATCTGCAGATATCTCTGTAGCTCCTGCTGGGTGGCCCAAGGGCAAAAGACAAAGAGATAATCTTAAAAGCAGCAAGAGAAAAACAGTTAGTTACGTACAAGGGAGGGCCCATACAACTGTCAGCTGATTTCTCAACAGAAACTATGCAAGCCAGAAGGGAGTGGCAAGAAATATTCAAAGTGATGAATAGCAAGAACATACAACCAAGATTACTCTATCCAGCAAAGCTATCATTTAGAATTGAAGGTCAGATAAAGAGCTTCACAGACAAGAAAAAGCTAAAGGAGTTCATCACCACCAAACCAGTATTATATGAAATGCTGAAGGGTATTCTTTAAGAAGAGGAAGATAAAGGTAAAAATAAAAATTATGAACAAAGTGACACCAAATACATATCTATTAACAAGTGAATCTAAAAATCAAATGAATAAAAATCTGATGAACAGAATAAACTGGTGAATGGAATAGAATCGGGGGCATGGAAATGTAACAGACTGACGATTCTCAGAGGGAAGAGAGTGTGGGCAGGTGCAGGAAGAGATTAGACAAAGATCTTATATGTTTGATTACCTATGGACACAGACAATAGGGTGGCCAGGGCCTGGGGTGGGGTGGGAACTGGGTGGAGGGGAGCTATGGGGGGAAGAAAGAAGGACATCTGTAATAATCTCAACAATAAAGATAAAAAATAAAGAGAGAGACAAAACCTCAAGAGAAGCTCACAATCCCAAAGTATAAACATATAGGGAAACTATCAATCCATTATGCGTGAGAATCAGAAGATGTACAAAACAGCAGGGCTACACCTCCAAAAACTCAGAATACCAGAAATATGCCTACTTAGTAAGTATGTTTAAAATAAATAAAGGAGGAACTGAAAACAAAAGATTAAAAAGGGACAGTGAGCAAAAATAAGACAAAAATGAACATAACTGTCACTGACATGAAAAACTAAGTAGTGGCATGAACATAAAATTAGACCCAGCTCAGGAAATAAAAGACTGAACTAGTAAATAGCGCTGAAGAAATTATCCAAAATTCATCATAGACAAAAAGATAAAAATATGAAAGTGGGGTTAAGCAATAGAGCACAGCATGTGTCTAACGTTCATCTAGTGCAGTGGTCGTCAAACTGCGGCTCGCGAGCCACATGCGGCTCTTTGGCTCCTTGAGTGTGGCTCTTCCTAAGCCATAGAAGTACCCTAATGAAGTTAAGAACAATGTACCTACCTATATAGTTTAAGTTTACAAAATTTGGCTCTCAAAAGAAAATTCAATCGTTGGACTGTTGATATTTGGCTCTGTTGACTAATGAGTTTGCTGACCACTGCCTAAGGCTTAGGAAGAGCCACACTCAAGGGGCCAAAGAGCCGCAGTTTGATGACCATGGGCTAAGGCTTAGGAAGAGAGTTAATAACAATGTACCTACCTATATAGTTTAAGTTTAAAAAATTTGGCTCTCAAAAGAAATTTCAATCGTTGGACTGTTGATATTTGGCTCTGTTGACTAATGAGTTTGCTGACCACTGATCTAGTATAGTGATTCTCAACCTTGGCTGCACATTAGAATCACCTGGGAATCTTTTTAAAATCCCGATTTCTGGGCCTCACCCTCTGGAAATTCTGTTTCTTTGTTATGGGGTGGGGCCACAACATTAGTAATAAAGAAACAGAGATTCTGGAGGATGAGGCCCGGAAATCAGGATTTTAAAAAGATGCCCAGGTGATTCTAATGGGCAACCAAGGTTGAGAACCACTGATCTAGTATGAATTGCTGGAGAAGGCAAGACCGACCAGGTAAAGAATGTTTGAAGATAGTATTATCTATGTAGAATTTTTCCAGAGTTAATGGAAAACAAAAAGCACAAATTCAATCAGAGCAAACAGAACTAAATCTATACAAATGGGACTTTAGGTAACTCATATAAATGAAAAAATACAGCCCTAGCCGGTTTGGCTTAGTGGATAGTCAGCCTGTGGAATGAAGGGTCCTGGGTTCGATTCTGGTCAAGGGCACAGGCTTGAGTTGCAGGCTTGATCCCCAGTGAAGGGCATGTAGGAGGCAACCAATCAATGATTCTCTCTCATCATTGATGTTTCTATCTCTGTCTCCCTCTCCCTTCCTCTCTGAAATCAGTAAATATATATTAAAAAAGAAAAGAAAAAATACAGTATTAGTCTTTTTAACATGGCAAAAGACAGAGATAAAAATGCTCAGATGACTTAGACACCTCTTTGACTTAACAAATATGGAGGGATGTATTATTCAGGGATGGTGGTGAGATAGCTACATTTCTTGGTAATAGGAGAGACAGGCAGTCCTTTACATACAGACAAATTTAGTTAAATCATATGAAAATGAATTTCAGGTTTTGGTTACTTTATCCTATATAATAAAACCCTAATATACAAATCGACTGAATGGTGGATCGACCAGTTGCTATGACACTCACTGACCACCAGGGAACAGACGCTCAACGCAGGAGCTGCTCCTGGTTGGGGACAGTTCCTGCGTTGTGCATCTGCCCCCCAAGAGGGAGGCGACCTGCAGCAGCCATTGATGGGGGGCACCAGTCAGCAGGCGGTGCCAGGCCACCAGCCAAGGTGGGTGCCAGTGGGGGCTCCCTGATTGCCCCGCCTGCCAGTCACCCTACAGATGACTCTGATCGTCGGCCAGGCCTAGGGACCCTACCCTATATATTGGGAACAGTCTCTTAGATTTAGAAATTAAAACCTAGCAAGGCTACTTTAACACTGAAAAAACAGGATGATGCAGCGATGACATGCATGGACTCTGGCTTGCTCATCTTGTGGTCAGCCCTGATTCTGACACATATAACTGTGTGACAAAGCCAATTGTTTAACTTCTCTCTGCTTCAGTTTTTCCACCCATAAGATGGGGAAAATGGCACTACTGCCTCATCAGGATCATGTTATGTACAACTTTTCATAACAGGGCAAAAAATGTAGCTGCCCATACAACAGCAAGATGCCTTTCACCTGTATGAAAAGTATGGTCACTGGTGCACGCAGCGTCCCAGATTGCGAGGGGGATGTCAGACTGCCGATTTAGGCCCGACATCCCCTGAGGGGTCCCAGATTGCAAGAGAACACAGGCTGGGCTGAGAGACCACCCACATCCCCCCATCCCCTCTGCCCGCCCCTCTCCCCGTGCACGAATTTCATGCACCAGGCTTCTAGTATAAAATAATAAAGGACTTTATAGCATTTAAGATCTAGTATATGGTTTTACTTAGAAAACAATTAGGTTGAAAAGGAATAATATTCCATCTTTTTAAACTATTTTTAATAATTATAATGATAGTTTTTTTTAAGTTCTTATGGATTCGTCCTTGTTGCAAGCTGCCTTATATGTACTATTTTGTTTAATCAGTTAAATATATGATCTGATTAAGTGTTTTATATTATTATCAAACTAGACGGTATTTGTCCCATCTCACCTATTAGAGCATCAACTCCAGAGAACAGAGACCTGTCGCTTCCATTCCTTTTGTTATGGCGGCAGTGTGTAATAGAACAAGCAAGGGTTTTGAAATAAGATGATGTAGATGCCAGAGTCAAGCCCCAACTCTCCCACTTCCTCCTCCTCTAGTTGGATAGGTCACTAAACCTGTCTCAGACTCTCTAGTAGTTTCATAAAGAGGAAATGATGTCTATCTGACTTCCAAATCTGTGTGATTTTTTCTTTTCTTTTTTAAAAATATATTTCTTTATTGATTTCAGAGAGGAAGGGAGAAGGAGAGAGATAGAAGCATCAATGATGAGAGAGAATCACTGATCAGCTGCCTCCTGCAAGCCCCCCACTGGGGGTCGAGCCCACAACCCGGCCATGTGCTCTTGGCCCGAGTCAAACCCAGGATCCTTCAGTCTGCAGGCGCTCTATCGACTGAGCCGAATCGGCTAGGGCCAAATCTGTGTGATTTTTTATTCTGCTTCTCTGACTCTGATGGCACTCGCTAAGAATTTTATGGTTCCAATTTAGGCACATGCAGTACAGGCCCACATTCAAACCTAAAATTACTGCATGAAGGGTGTTAACTGCCGCTCATGTCGAATGGTGGAGGCCACCGGACCTGGCTTTGTGAAGGGCATTTACCTCCTAATAGTTTATTTTTTAAAGCAGTGGTTAGAATTAGCTTCCAAGTAATGGCATTTCCTCACTTATCATATACTATCAGAGTTGCCCCCCAGCAAAGTAAGTTCATTGATTTAAGTTAACTTGTCACCACTTGTCAGCAGACTTTCAGCTTCTAGCTGGCCACAGAAGAATGTGATTTCATATTTATAGCTCTCATAAGATTTAAAGCAAAAAGCTCATCTGGCTGCACTTGTGGTTTTAGCTTAAACTCCTCCTTCTCCTTCTCTCCTCCCCACAATAATTTATGACAAACCAAGTAGCATAAATTAAAGAGAAACCTTTTCAGGTCACATTCTTCTTCTCTTTTGCAGAATCCTATCAATATAATAATAATAATAATAGTAATAATAATAATGTGCTTCCTATAAATGACCCAAGTAAAATATTCAGAATTCTAATTACTATATCTCAACCAGATAAAATAGTAGAAGTATCACAATATCAAATTCACCTACTTGACATTTTTGACGCAGTTGTCGTAGCTCTTTTATAACTGGGGCTAGAGCTGACTTCTTTTCAGATACCAGTGAATTCAGTTTTCTTACCTGTCATTTAAAAAAAATACATGACATCTAAAAAAAGAATTCAAAAGAACAAAAATACTACATGCATAAAGATATTTACTGAAGTGTTATATATGAGTAAAAAAACTATAAATTACTTCAATGCCAAACAATAGGAAAGTGATTTAGTAAATCTTGATTCCTCGGTAAGATGGAATACCATGGAACTATTCAAAATGTCAATTATTAACACTGCAAACCAATATGGCAAAATATTTATAATCTAACAAGTAATGACTAAAATAAACTACAAGTTGCCTATATACCACTATAATCATGTTGTTATGTAAAACAATATGCAATTATGTAGGTTATATAAAATATACATAAACATAAATGAAGTGATATTCAAAATACTTAATAACCCAAATGGCATAAGTAATAATCAATCACAATGGACACCAGCTATAGAAATGAAGGCAGTCTTGCAGGCCTCTACAGGTGCTCAATGTTAATCTTTTTTTGTTGTTAATCCTCACTCGAGGATATTTTTTTTTAATTGATTTTTAGAGAGTGGAAGGGAGAAAAAGAGACAGAGAGAGAAACATTGATATGAACAGGACACATCAGTTGGTTGCCTCTTACACGTACCTCAACCGGGGCCAGGGATTAGGCCTGCAACTGAGGTATGTGCCCTTTACCGGAATCAAACCCGGGACCCTTCAGTCCACAGGCCGACATTCTATCCTCTGAGCCAAACCGGTGAGGACAATGTTAATCTTTTTATGAGTCAGACTGTGGTGAGATGCTGGGGTTCTGGGCAAGTAGCCAATGTGGATAAGACAGGCTGAGAGTTTGGGGCAGCAGCTATTTACCAATAAGTAAGGAAAGAGTTAAATGTTCTAATGCCTCACGAGGCTCTATCAGTACATTCTGGCTAAACGACAGCCCTAAATATGGAAAGATACTAAGGACACAACCAAAAATGAAATAATTTTATTAGTTAGGGTGGTATGTTGGGAAAACTTTTTTTTAAATCTTAAATATTTCCTTAATGTTGTATAACTTTCACACACTTCAAAAACCACAAAACGCATGATCTGTTGTAAGTTGAACAACCTCACTAGAATGCAAAAATTCAAGAGAGTGATACAGATAAAAATATAAACAATATGCAGAAAGGAAAATGTGAATGTTTCACTGAAAACTGGACAAACAAAAATATCTGCCTTCTATACCCAATAAAAAACCACTAAAAATGTGTAATCACCATTTCAGACATGTCATCCAGGGTCCGTCCTTTCATTTCGTCAACCTCACTCTTCAGTGCAGACACTCTCTCCAGCTCTTCCTGGGTGTAACTATATCCAGATATACCCTTTTTCTCCTCAATGGTTTGCTAAAAGTAAAGAATAAATAGAGGTCAACCTATGAACCAGGAGGTTCGATATGCCAGAGTTGGGGGCTCAATCCCCAATTGTGCAGGAGGCAGCCATCAATCATTCTCCCTCATTATTGATGTTTCTATCTCTCTCTCCCTCTCCCTTTCTTTCTGAAATCAATAAAGATATATATTTTAAAAATGGGGCCACAAATTTGGTGTCAAAACCTCAATGACTCCATAAGAAGTATACATATTTAATCTATAATATTAAAGTTGTAAATGAAATAAATTAGCTTAGAATCCTAAAGGACAATCTTTATTGACTTCAACAACAATAACATCTCTTTATATGTTATAAACTCACACTAAATTTTACTATCTTCAGGTACATAGAAAGCAGTTCTAATTTTAGACTTTAAATTAGTGCTATGTACTCTGCATAGAATATAAAACAGGACACATTCAATAAATATTTGGAGAATGAGTGAATTCTCAAGTGATCCAATTATATTTACATTTGCTTACTCATCCAATATTTGTTATAGGCCTAAATGTGCCAAGAACAGTTCTCGGCAGGGAACAAAACGGGGGGAAATCCCCTTGCTCACAGAGCTTACTTCTAGTGAGAGTAAACAAGTAACATGTAAACAAGTAAAACATGGTGTGAGGTGAGAGTGGGGTTGAAATTTTAAGTAAAAGGTGGTTATAGTCTTCCTGAGATGACATCTGAGAACGCCCTGAAGGAAGTGGGGGAGCAAGCCGCGTAGACACCTGGGAGACCAGCAAGTGCACAAGACATGAGGCAGGAACATGCCTGGCTTGTTCACGAAATAGCTGGGAGACTGGTGCAGCTGAAAATAGAGTGAGAATGCAGTGGGGCGGCGGAGGGATCGTAGAGGACTCAGCTGGTTTGCTGGGACAGTCTCAGTTGATGTCTGTTGTCCTTTGCATTCTCAAAAGTGTCCTAGTTTAGATGATAAATTATATTATTACCTTATTTTTAGGCCAATGAAAGAACTTGGACTTATTTTAAATGACATGGGAGGCTTGTTGGAGGGTTCAGATAAAGTAATTAAAAAAAAATTAATCTTAGAGAGAGGAAGGAAGGGAGACAGCGAGTGAGAGAAACATCAATCAGTTGTTTTCCACACTCACCCTGACCAGGAATTGAACCCGCCACCTTCCAGTGTCAGCTAGCCTCTGTCAATGACCACTCAGTGCTTGGGTAATGGCCTCATGAACAGAATGGCTATGTTGGCAAAGATGGAGGCTACGCATGGGCAAAATAGCATGGGCTCTCTATGACTAATGCCCATCTAGCCATTGCAACTGCCACTGCCACTGCCACACATCTGACCTGGCAGCAACAGAGATCAATTGGTTTCCTCAAGGGTATGGAATCATCCCTTGAGGAAACCAATCATCTACTTAGTGGCAATATGATAACATCAGATCCTTCCTGCTCTGAAAAGATATTTCATCCTGACTGGCACTGACCCATATTCTGGGTAAGGGTTTGCTTTCTTGCCAACAATGTTCCAGCCCACACCACTATCCAAGGGCTCAGAGTATCTGGTCTACTGATGTAGATTCCCACATATATCACCTCAGACCAAGAGACCTACTTTATGGTAAAGGAGGTGTGGTGGTGGGCACATGACCTTGGGATTCAGTCACTGTACCACACACCACCCCACCCAGAGAGCAAATGACCTGACAGAACAGAGGAAGGACCTCGTGAAGGGACAGCTAAGTGGCCAGATTGGAACTGGGGGCTTGTGAGGATGAGTTCTAGTCTTATACATGGGTCTCGAAAGTATGCGGGTTATCACTCTCTGGGTTTCCCACTCATCCACTTAAGGAATTAACTTTCCTGCTCCGGTTTCCAGAGCTGGGCGTGCTTCCACCAGAAGGCACATGAAGGGACCCTCCACACTTAATGCTCTGGCTACCATGTTGTCACTTGGGCTCCTCATGCCAGTGGACCAACAGGCAAAGAAAAGGTTTATTATATTGTAGGACATCATAAGGCTATTGATTACCCCAAAGTCAGCAAGCATAAGAGTGCTTCCTGGGGGGAGGGGTAAAAAAAAAAAAGAAAGACTGCTTCCTGCTACATTAAACATAAAGGATCAGCTTATATAACATCTCTGTAATTAATCAGAAAAAAACAATAGTTGTATGATTTTTCTATTAAAAACCCCAGAGCTATAACCCATAAACCTCCTGACATTTGTAGTTTTAGCACCCCAAGATAATACTGTATTACCAGCTGATGCTGAATATTTTCAAGACGTTGTTTAAGGAGTTCTTCCGTCCTCTGCAAGAGACCGAACTCAGCTTTAAATTCAGCTATTATCTGATGCTTCTTTTTGAAAACAGTACTCTTGCTTCTAAGTTTACTGACATATCGCTTGAACTGTAAGAGAATACAATATTAGTTTAATGAGTAGAAAAGTAGTTGCTAAACATTACATGTACTCTCAATGTTTAAGAAACATTTTATTTTCTACTGTCTAACACATGTCCCAAGTATATAATAACAACTTAGTTTTATTAGAAAACTTAAGACTAACTGCCTGATTCAACATACTTTGTGTATGTTTTAATTTTTTGGATCCACCTAAATGGTGTAAATCCTTATGTAAAACTCTATTACTGTCAGTATTTTTCCTTTTAAGTTATACAGCTAAATCTAAGGTCAGTAATTCTAAATTTGTAAGGTAGTAAAATAGGAAGTATAACATTTCTCAAATTTAGGTACTTTTTTCCCCTTAAAGACTTGATTCGTTCCTGTGTATTTAAAAAATGCCCTTAAAAATAGTATGCTTCCTGGGGGGAGGGGTAAAAATAACTTTTTTTTTTCACATAAAAATAACTTTTAATCCCTAGTTTAGACATCGTTCTAAAGTTGATTTAAACTTTAAAAGAAATACAGAACATATTGTGTTTTAGAGGAAGGAAGTTCAAAATAATCTTCTATCCATGATTAAGTTGGTTTTAATATTAAGGAATTCAGCCCACACAGCAAATTATCAATGGCTGGATTATAGTAATGGTTTTAAAATTTTAAGTCATACCAATAAACCTAGAGTCTATTAACTTGCAATTTTTCCTTTTAAAGAATAAATGTGTAAGCCTGACATAACCAGAGACTCAGAATCCCCAGAGAAACTATAATATGTTCTATTAAAAGTGTCCTGGGCAAAGTGCCCAAAATGAAATCAACCCTATTCATCTGCTACCCTCTGTATTATCTAGACCAATTTCCCCTTCGCTATCTTGCTGTGCTCCAGAACTATTTTTAAAAGCTATAAATGTTTTTGGTGAAAGAACAAACCCACCAATTACTCAATGTGCTCTCTGCTGATTGGTTGTTACTTGACGTTCATTGGACAAACTGCTTAAGGGAAGGGAGTTGGGGTCAGATTAATCCTGGGTCCATTCAATTAAGCAACAGGTGGCCATCAAAGCACTCTGAGGGCTCTACTACCCCAAGGGACTAGGGGAAAGAAACGCATTATCAATGTTTCTTCCATGGCAAGTTTATTCTGTTAAAAAAGAGAAAACAGCCCGGCCGGTGTGGTTCAGTGGTTGACCTATGAACCAGGAGCTCAAGGTTTGATTCCCGGTCAGGGCACACGTCCGGGTTGTAAGGCTCGATCCCCAGTAGAGGACGTGCAGAAGGCAGCCGATCAATGATTCTCTTTCGTTACTGATGCTTCTACCTCTCTCTCCCTCTCCCTTCCTCTCTGAAATCAATTAAAAAAAATTTTTTTTAAAAAGAGAGAAAACACAAGTCACTTAAGTCCCACTGTCACCAAACCAAGACTTAATACCTAAATTAATTACAGTTGCGGCCTCTCCCAGGAATGGAATCTTAAACCAGTCCACCAGGAATTACCTGGTCGCCACTAATAATGTAGTCTGCCTGACAGGCCCCTGCTGTCCCCTAAAGGAAGGTGACCGTGCCACAACCAATCCCCTTTTTGCCTGGCCAGCTCCCTTCTGTCTATAGAAGTCTTCCATTTTGTGCAGCTCCTTAGAGCTCCTCTTTGACTAAATGGGATGCTGTCTGATTCATTAAGAGATGAATAAAGCCAGTAAGATTTTTAAAATGTACTCATTTCAATTTTGTTTTTTAGTACTTCTATCATTTGGATTTCAGATTATTTCTGAATTCTCAAATTATAAAAATAAAATCACGACGAACATATTGAATATAAATCTTTAGACACATTTAAAATATCTTTTTTTATTGATTTCAGAAAGGAAAGGAGAGTAAGAAAGAGAGAGAAACAATGATGAGAGAGAATCATTGACTGGCTGCCTCCTGCACACCTTCCTCTGGGGATAGAGCCTGAAACCTGGGCATTTGCCCTGACTGGGAATTGAACCATGACCTCCTGTTCATAGGTCAATACTCAACCACTCAGCCATGCCAGCCAGGATAGACAAATTCTTAATAATTTCTACAGGATATTTCCAGAAATGGTCAAAAGGAAATAGGGTTTTGACACATTCTGCCCTTCAAAGTCTATTTATGGTACTTTTTATAATTGCCAATTTTATATGTAAAAGATAATCTTACTTTTAATTTCCATTTCTTTATTAGGGGATTTCACTTTTTTCTCATGTTCACTGTACATCTCTAAGGATTTACAATGACTCCTTGGGATATTTAGGAAAAGGCTTTCTATAGTGCACTATAGCAGTAGCAGGTCAATCAGATAAATTTGTCATTTTACCGAACTATAAAGCTTGTCACTGAGCAGGAAGGCCCATTATAGCAGCTATTACTAATCATTTGGACCAATATACATTTGTAATCTAAATTTGTCATTTAAGAAAGAGCAGCCATCATTTTAGATGCTGAAATCAATAAGATTAATGCCTTATAGTGCTAGCTTCTGGCTTTGGGACCAATTTTACAGACTCAGCTCCTTTGTGATCAAAATGAAATTTGACAGACGTTCTTCCTCCTCTTATCCATTTAATATACTTTAGAACCTTTCATAGTAATAATCAAAATCTGGGCTAGCTTTTTAAATGGGCAAGGCAGCCTATTTCCCTAAGTATGTAACCATTTAGATGCTTTTAAAACTTATCTGGAGTGCAAAAGTATTATTGGATCCAGACATCATTCTGGATATTTATATA